GAGCCACATATTTTCAGAGGTTTGTGTGATGCCGAGCTCGAAAGACGATTCAGCACCTCTTCTCCAAGCCGCCGTGGCCATAGACACGACTGTCGTAGCTGCAGTGAGTAGCTCTGCAAGGTGATGAGGTACTGAAGAATTCGCTGATGAAACCGCGACTCCCATTATCCTCGCCGCTGACAAGTTTGGTGCAGTGATATCGTGAAGAAATGGCCCCCAAGTCTCCAACTGCACCCGCTCCAGTACGATCTGTTCGAGTTTTGGCATTGGAATATTGCGACTGGTCCGCGGCGCGGCGTGCCAGACTCCGCCGTAAATGCGGAAGCTCTCCAGAAGCGGGGCGCGCCCTAATACGGCCAGAAATTTGGATATATCATGCGTACTGTCCTCGAGCTCTTCTAGATCGAGTTCACGGCACATCAGGGTCCTGAGCTCGCCGAAAGACTAGCGAGACAAAGAATCCAGAGCATTGTCATCGAATTCACCGAGCTCGATGTGCCGAAGACGTGGCATAGCGAGAATCGGAATTAAGGAGCGGCTTTCGAAGTCGTCATCGTCCCAGTCATCCGTATAGTCCGTGGGCCAGTTAGGGGACGCTTCCGAGAGGAATACAAGACGAGGGGCGGACAGGAAGTGAGAGGGCTGTGATGCTAGCCAGGCAATTGCAGATGCTCGGGGTGTGGAAGGGAACTCCAGGGAGTATATACGACGTAACTCGTCGAACACTAGCCCGAACTCCGAATCGCCGCATCGACGAACATTCCCAGAGACGTACAACGAGCAATCCTCGGATCGCTGAAGAATCATGCACTGGTACTCGGGTTTGCGACCACTCTCCAATGGTGGCAGACGTGAGACACTTGGATGATAGCATCGGTGGTGTGTTGCCCAGGGCGATACGCGCCGACGTACGCGAAGACCTCGGCGAGGAGTTCGACAGGAATGCGACATGGGTACGTGAAAGAATTCATCCTTCTTGAAACTTCCGTGAGCTCAGATTCCAGGCGTTTGCGTTCCGACTGTAGTTGCAGCCATTCCTCTTTATTTGCCTCGCTGCAGACGAAGGCATGCGGATATTCTGCCAGGTCAGCGCAAGGATTAGGCGTCGGATAGTACATGACACACTCGCCTGACGCCGCACATCGCGCAGAATCTCTGCTGTCTTCTCCAGAGCATAAAGAGTGGATGTTGCTGCGGTCCTGAATCCTGATTGTAAAATCCCACTTCCACTCGGAGTTAGGGGTTATTAGGCGCCCTGGATAGTCCCGGAGGACCCTCGCTCGCTCACCTGTCTACAACAACTTCCACAAGACAAAAATGTCATATTTAACGTAGTAAAACAATCACAGAAGTATTTTATGACACTGGTGAAATTACCTCAGTACTACATATACAGATCAGCCAGCTACGGTAGAGCTGCACGACCCCCATGATTATCCCATTCGTACCACTTCACCCGCCCTGGAATTCCTGTATTAGCGTGGCATCTCGCACGTTACGCAAATACATACTAGTATACACGTCTCTCCACACAATCGGCTTCTCGAGTAGGATCTCAATCTCCACGACTCCAGGTGCTTGCTTTCGAATGTGCGAAATCAGAGCCGATCGTGTCTTTCCAGGGGTCGCTGGCTCTGACGCACTTGATGCAGAGAAGCGTCGTCTTGATTGAAGTAACGTTTCTTGATCAACTTGTGAAGACTCGATGTGCAAAGAGCGCAAGTTCGGAGGGTAGGTAGTGGTTTTCAGATAACCGTACAGCTAGATGCCAAGGATAAGCAGAGACGCACGACCAGAGGGTATGTATACAGACCTTCTTGTACGGTACGTGTATGACATCAGTCTGAACGAAGAGCCCGCGCAAGGCGGGTAGATCGGTAAGCAGCAGCTCCAATGTGGTGATGGTATTCAGTGGAGGCAAGTCGACGACAATCTCCTCTACATCGCGGCAACGGTCGCGTATAAGCTGGAGGATTTCGATGATGTCATGGCTGCGACCCCAGATGCTGATATGCTTGAAATTCGCTTGACCAACACACGACATGATGAGACACTGGATGAGAGACGACGGTGCACCGATTGCCTTCAGTTTTGGGAGGGTATTCCGCGAAAGCGAAGGATATCCATCTGGTGTCTGGGCTAGTAATGGCACCTGGGCCAATATATCGTGACGACTTGGGCCATTTTGGTCGATATAGAGATTCTCCACTGAGGAACATCGAGCGAGCGCGCGAGCAAAGCATGGAAAAAGGGGGGCATAAGCAGGAAGTCGCAATGTCCGCAACGAGCGCATTTGATGTGGAAAGACAGCTAATGCCGGAAAGAGAATCTCCGGCTCGGTCTCTGTGGAAGAAAGAGCAGGCGCGTCGTAAGAGAGATGCTCTACGGAGGAAGACGTCACGAGGGGGATCCACCAGCCGTAAGATCCGTTCATCTTGCCGTGTAAGCTGAGAGACTTTAGCTTGAAGCGAGTTAATCCAAGATCGCCGGAGCATGTACAGCGTTCTAGATGGATACCATTGAAGTACTCGAGCCGAGCAAGAGAATCGAAGTGTGTGCCGTCAAGGGAAATATCTTGAGCTGAGAAGGAGCGGAGGTTGACGAAGTGGTGGAGTTCGTCGAAGACTGTGCGAAGGACCTGCTCCTCCTTGATCGCATCCTGTGTCTCTACATCCAGCCGTTCGCCTCCCACACGAAATGTCAGAGCCTTGACATAATACGCAATATGATTGGAAGTGGCAAACTCGAGTCGCTTCTTGAGACGATCGTAATAATCGACGTGCTGGCAACGTACAGGGGCATACGTGTCGAGGTACCGCGCCTGGATCAGAGTCACTCGGATCTCTGAGAAGAGTATGGGTTGTATAACATAGCGAAGGTGCCTGCCCACCAGGCTGAGGTTGGCGATATCGTCCTGCTCAAGGGAGCTACATTCCATTATCTGCAGCCAGATCTCGGCCGGGATTCGTTCTGAGAGGAAGGGCTGCGAACAGTCGATCGACCTAGACATGGTGGCCATCCGGTGTAATGCTCTTGTGTCGTCTTACAATAACGTCACTGAGACTGTGATAGTACATCCCATGGCGTGCATGCACGTACCTCGACTTCCTGAACTTGAATCTTCCCCTGATGCAGGCACTCTTTAGGGCCTGTGCTCTCAGACAATCAAGTCTCTCACAGGTACGAAAGACGTCTAGTTGGTTATGAAAGCAGAGAGAAAGCCTTCAATGCTTCGTCACCGCAGCGCTTCCGAAGACGTGCGCTCAGCAGACTGTACTCTGGGCAGTCCGGGGTAACCAGTGAAAGACATCCAGGTCACGGACATCCAAATTACAACGTGTGCAGAAAGAGGTGACCATTAAGCGAGATTTTGAGTCGAACGATGGCGGTGGTGGCAGCGAACGATAATTCGCCAGAAAATTCACGGAAAAAAGAAACGGTAGTGATGGCGCGTTTGGGCGTCTAATGTATTGCGACTCTTCCGCCGCGATCGCGCACGAGCTGCTGTTGTACACGTGCAGCCGCTGAAAGCCAAAGAAAATCCAGCAAGCTACTTTAAGACGTAGGTGCCACATATCAGATGGAATATCGCCAATGATAAAGCGTGAAGCAGTACAGTCGTCATTCTGGGGCTGCGGCGTGTGTAGTACTGACTGTGACGTTCGGCGCCGTAACATCCGGTATTGCATATGGCAAGCGGTGAAGGACCAGCCGCGGGGGATTCTCCTCTGTACCAACTCCAGTCGCTCATCAACATTGTCGGTCCGGAATTTGGTAGGCTATCATTATTCACCACGCCCTCGCTGCTCACCTGGATTCACAGTCAATTCTGACCCACCAATACGAGTACAATGTGCTCAAGCATCAGGTATGCGTACCATATAGGCCGGATTCTTGGCTGCTAATAATACTTAGGCAACGAGATATATGTGGGTTGCTCTAACGGTGACCTCCTCCGCTTTGCTCTACAACTAAACGTGAGCTCACCAACGGTACGCAGATACAGATGGCCCTTGTTCTAGTAATTAACGCCTTCTTTTAGCCGGACTCCTATACTTTGCTGTCTCGACAAAGTGTCCCAAATAATCGACCAATCGACGACATCATTCTCCTTCCAAGCCTTTCCCGTGCCCTCGTCCTTTCTGGTGCGCCCACAATATCTTGCATGTCTCTCACATTTTTTACGAACCTCTGGCAACAGACCGCCAAATTTTCGTATATATCTTACCGATGCTAGATATAATGCCCTCGACTGCCTACAAGCCCATTCGGCAGGTGCTGAGCATTGCAATTGATGAGCAGCAGCAGCGATATGCGACGCGGCGAAACGGCAATCCACCTTCACAGCCTAATCCAATTTCGTTTTGTGTTATCAAACGACAGTCGGTGCTGGTTTTCCACGTGCGGGAAAAGCCCGTATACGAGAAAGTACGCGCTGCCTGTATGGTCTCGATGGTCTTCCTGCTGATCGGCTCGCATAGGAAATCCCGCTGCCGCTTCGTGTTCACCTCGCCAAGCGCAGCGGACCCTACATGTGCATCGCAGACCCCGAGAATTACAACATGATAAACCTCGAGACCGCCTCCCTCATACCACTGCTCCCCATCTCTCAAGCCCCTTCAGAAAACCCGGATGCAGAGGCACCGCGAGCACCGGTTGTGAAGCCTTTCATCCTCGTCATAACAGAGAGCGAGTTCCTCATCTTGAGCTGGACGGGTACAACCACACTGGGCCTGTTCATCACCGGCGAGGGCGAGCCGGTGCGGGGCACCCTGGAATGGTCGAGCCACCCCGTATCCGTTGGCAAGTATCCCTACCAACCTAAACCCCCACAGTGATACTCATTCTTGGTGCCTGTAGCCTTCGACGACCCACATATCACGACGCTCCTGTCCGACGGCACAGTGGAAATCCACAACATTGAGACACAGGCTCTCGTACAGACCGTGCCACCGTCGTCTTCGGCGCTCACGCCTGCCGTCCCGATCCCGACCGACAGGACGGCCCTCCTGGCATGCTCAGCGGATTTCGTCGTCCCGTCAACAGAGCGACAAACCAAGCTGCGGCCAACACCGGTCAAGCTGCGGCCGCCGGAAGCAAGGCCCGAGCCCGCACCTGAGGTCGCACCGGTAACGCAACCGGAAGAAGAGGAACAAGATCAGAGTGCGACGGCTCCCACGAACGACGACCAGGGCGGCGACGATATTGAGCCAACACCCTACGACCTGGGAGACGCGTGATCATCATGATGTGGATCGTTCTTGAGCCTGCAGTGTATCACTCTCCGTAGCGAACGAATACAAACAGTCGTTAAGTCATAAATTATCTGCCGTAGTGCTGCAACCATCATAGACCCCGTGTGAATCTCATTTACTGGTTCTCGTGGTCTGCTTCTCCCCCTGCGGCCCCTCAGTGTACACGTCTTGCCCAGAGGCGGAATGTCCGGACAGTGCGCGTCTCGATGGTCTGCTGTTAGCGTGTCATGCGCTCGTTGGTAAAACAGTGCAAGGGCATTTCGTCCGTGCTTAGTCGATGTCCGCAACGATGCCAGTCATGAGAGGGTCGTCCGAGACCTGGTAGATATCTATCACGTCAGACGCTGAGTCATCGCTCATATCCAGGAAGTCCTCGTCGTCGCCCACGTTTTCGTCTCTTCGCGTTGGGATGTTGAGCGGCGCACCGAGGTTGCCGACGACGGAGTGCGTCGTGAGCTTGACGTCCGATAGGTGCAGCGACGCATCCGAGCCTGCGCGGTTCCCCCCTGACAGAGAGATTGCGCGCAGGTTCAGCATGAATCGCGTGAGGCAGATGGAGGAGAGTCTGCAACGCGAGATGTAATGGCTGACATGCGCTGTCAGTAAACGAGAGTGACATACGTGTCTGTTAGGGCAGGGATATTGTTGAACATCTAAGGCACAGAGTCAGATATCATGTCCTTCCGCTTGAGAAACGATATGAAGCTACCTGGTCGCGGATTGAAAGCATGCTCAGACAATTGAGCGTCAGTAAAACTCTGGTCAGCTTGTGTTTAGTACTGCTTCAGTTGGATAGCTTGCACAGTTAGACGTACAGGAAGTAGATCGTGCCTGCCAAGGAACGATTCAGAGCGATGAAGAGATGAAGCAGTGTCGACTACGCACCGTCCCTCCAGAGCAGCTCGCCAATGCCCATCCTCATCTTTAGCTTCCTCAGTTTGATAAAAATATCCGCAGTGCGGCCCCAGGTTAGTACGAGCACGACGGCCTCGGAAAATATGGAGAAGACCGCGCCAAATACAACTGGACAGATAATCATTGAAGTGTTATAGAAGTTCTTCGTGCAGGACTGCCACACTTACAGCTGAGATCATACGCAAGTCCGTAAGTAACGGTCTAATCATACACTTCAAATAACATAGAACATACAAGATTAGATCTGTGGAAGGGCTGCTGAAATCACTTTGCTGCCCGCATCCTCGGAACGGTGGTGGCATTGCTTGGAAGGTAAGGTTGGTGTCGTAATACTGGTTGCACTATTAAAACATCGCCCAGGGATACGCCGAAGTGGATGACGTACGATGCTGGCGCAGGGGCTCACCAGTCCCATGATAAGCACAATC